CGAAAGACAATGCTGTATCGATAAACAAAATCCTCACAAATACTTATTTGAATGTCCATAAAGAGGTATAGCTACAAAAACAGCTTAAATTCTTCAGGCTTTCATCGTACCCGAAAATCGCACCGCCTGCGCAAACGAAAAATCGCTCGTGTAGCAGCAACTTCATGATAATGATGATTGGGATGRTGACAACGATGATAATAATGAGACTCTGTAAATAATATAAAACCCTGGTCAAAGAAGAAAATGCTTTATTCAGCCAAAGAAAGAATTTATGGGATAAGACACAAATGGCAAAATAGAATTGATTTAATATTTCGGATAAGCAGTAGCTCTCTCAGACATTTGGTGATACCTGAATAAATTTTTGGTAAATATATTTCAAACTAAGCCATATCACGCTATTTAGTACCCAATATCTATACTATAGGAATATCTGGTAACAACTCAATAAACAATACCTCTAGCATCTGGACTACCACCAAGATCKACACAAGTCTTGACAAGATCCAAGTTTCCCTTCATTGCACCAATCATCAAAGGAGTGAGGTTCCATTTGTTACTGCCAGTCTGAAGGTTTATGTTCGATCCATGGGACACGAGAACTTTAATGGTACTCTAMGTAAATAGACTAGTGTGAGCCATCATTCATTTGCAGAATATAAACAATTATAGATTTGTTCTTAAAGAAAAGTTGGACTCCTTATGTGAAGTATAATGCTCCCGCAGTTTACACTCAGTCTGATGCAACGCTAGCTAACTTCAACACTGATTCGTCGTTACATGTGCTCTGATTGGTAAAATGGGTTCGTTCTTAAACGCTCAATCTTTGATCAATCAGAGAGAATCGTTCTTACAAGCTCTCTGTTTGGTCAAAGAGTTTCGTTTCACGCGCTCTGATTGGTCAAAGAGATTCGTTCTTAGACGCGCTCTGATTGGACAAATAGTTTAGTACCAAAACGCACTCTGATTGGTCAAAAGGCTTGTTCTTAAAAACTCTCTGATTGGACAAATCAGTGAAGTGGAAGTACTTACGACATGTCCTCTCAATGCTGCATAATGAATGGCAGCTTTAGTAGATTTACTCTTCACATCAGTACACACTCTAGGTGCAGGGGTGTCATCATTTTCCTCAACCTCGTCATCACTCTCAGGTGTTGCACTTATTGCTAATAAGGCTTCAACATTCTTATCACGACCATATTTGGCAGCAATCATWAGAGGGGTTACTCCTTTGGGTGCAAGGTCATTTGGATCTACCCCCCTAAAAGAGCAARAAAGCATGGAAAATTGGAATCAGTACTATTAGCATATATTCTGTCYGAAAACAAGTGTCATCTACAACTTGCTTTTTCAAGTTAGATTACAACACTAGTGCCAGTAGAACATAGTTCAGGAATGAGCAAGACAGGAATCCCAATCTGAAAGTAAGAGAGACTTAAATGTGTACATTCATCAATTACCTTGATAGTAAAACTTTSAGTGGTCCAGGTCCCTCGCAAGCACAAGYGTAATGAATCATTTTGTAGCCATCTTTGTCAGGGATGTTGTATTCTGGGACAAGGCTCAGCAAATCCTTTAAGTATTGGCCATTGGGATTGATGCATGCTGCATGAAGTGGAAGAATCTGGAAAATAGAAGAAACAAGAAAAATGAGATCATTCTCATTCTCAATAGATGATTGACAGATTGATTGATTGATTGACAGATCAACTGATTCCTTRTTTAGTCAGAGTTAATGGATTCTACAGTAATTCACTTACACATTTGTTCATGTATGGCTTYTTCTTGACTGAAGGAGCGCGGAATTTGGATAATTTCTGAGTATCATTCAGCAAGACTTCTTTGTGAAGAAAATTAAACCCAAAACCATCCTTCTCCAAAGCCATCTTAACAAAATGCCCAGCGACCTTTCTATTGCCACTTCGAACAGCCAACCAAATGTTTTCAATAACACGGGATATTGACTTTATTTTCTTTTCTGCCACTGCTTTATCAATAAGGGTTTCTAGCATTTCCAAGGAGACCTCTTCATTTTTAAGGCAAAAGTTCAGTAAATTATGTAGAAGAGATCTTGAGGAGTGGAATGGGTTTTTGTCTGTGTCTTTTAGAAAGGCATTGTTGCCCTCTCTGGACCCTCTGCTTGCATAAATCTGTCGTACAGCATGGCCAAATGTGTGGAAATTGTAAGATCCAGTGTCCATTTCCGTGAGGCTGATGTTGGGTCTCTTACATCTTTTCTCTTTTGGTGTAATAATGTCATCAAGGAGAACCTCGAAGGCTTCTTTGTTATTGTTAAGCAGAGCATAGTGGATGGCATATTTACCAACGTCAGGACTTTGTGGCCAATGTACCTTGGAGGAATAGTAAAATATGAAATAAAAAATAATGATAGTAATAGCAATTAGAATTATACACATGTACAAATATGGAGCAGATTTCATATGACTGTGCAGAGGCACAGATCAATCACAACACGGACACAGCAAGTTCACAGAACTTCCCCTGGTAGTGGTCCGAATAAACAAAAGAAAATCAAGAATATATCACCGTCATAGCACGGTACAGAAAGGCACAAAAGTTCCATCATTTTTTGCATAGTCATGTGAAATCCACTCTAGTACTTACTGAATGCACATCTTTGACATTATCAATCAATGTCTTGAGTAAATCCAAATCATTCAGATGAACAGCACGTATGGACTGCTTACACATCATCAGGCCGACATTATCCCTGTCAATCAAATTCATTTGACAGGTGATTKATTGATCTCCAATTTATTATTTGTACAATCTATTTAAATGTATTTACCTGGTTTCAAATGTTGGGTCCACATCAACAAGTTCAATGTCAGGATTAGGTATGAGGACACCAGGTCGTCGTCCTGGTTTCTTTTTCTGGGGTTTCTCTTTCTTTTCTTTCCTAGRAGTAGGAGCTTTGCGCTTCTGTGCTTTGCCTTTCTTTGGCGTAGGGGTTTTAGCTTTTGTCTGCTTTCCCTTTCTTCCTCTTCTTGTTGCTGGGGTGGTAGCATCACTTGAGCTGCGGGTGCGCTTGGCTGGTGGTTGCTCRTCATCATCATCTTCTTCTTCTTGTTGTTCATCTTGTTTTTTGTAAGAAGCAAAATTGTTGGTACAAAATGGTGAAAACGACATAATTTTGTCCATTATGATAATACAACAACCTAACTAAAGGAATTTTCATGMAGATGTTTTAATTATCACTATCAACAACGGTAGGACCTTTATCATTTCAGCATTTAGTATAACAATTGATTTGCTGGGCACAATCCTCTGGCATTACTCAKGCAATCTGGGTGCCCACAAAATGACTTCAAAAGAATTCRTTCACCCTATTTAATAATACGTCCAAAGATAAGTGATCATACCTTCCACTTCTTCTTCAATCTCTTCTCCTCTTTCTTCAGCAAGAGCTTCTCTCAAGAGTCTTTTGGTTTGTTTGATGCATTTTTGAGGAAGAGAGAACTTGCCATCTTTTTCAGTTAGGGAAACACGTGTGATGACGCACTTCATATCACATACATCATCAAAAGATACCTGGACAAAGGAAAAATGACAAATAAATAAATGGTTATTGAAGTAAAAGAAAGGAAGGGGTGAGACAAGTAATGAATTTTATGCTAGAAAAATGAAATAAAAAGTGGAGAGGAAGGAAGTAATATTGACAATTGAAAATTGCAGGAAATTTGGATAAATATATAAATGGTTCAAATAAACAGGGAAATACAACTGTGGAACAAAATCATGCAATAATCAAATAAATGAATTAATAATTAATTAATTACAGTATTAAAAAGTTAATAAGTAAATCAATTAAAAGATGTAAACAAGAAACATGGAATGGATGACAACAGTTTAAAGCATAAAGGAGTGCACTTCAAATTAAAAAAAAACAGAAAATATTAGAAACTGATGAAATAGAATGAATGAAATGCAAGAGAATGTGGCAAAATAGAATGAAATGAAAAGAGATTTATAGGAGTTTAAAAAACAAAAAACAAGTATGGAATTTTATAAAGAAACCTTTTTAGCCAGCAAATTTAGAACACAAGATAAACTTTTGCCCACTCGCCTCATAAAGGTTGGGACTAACTCTATTGTACCAAGCAACAAGAAATGTAGTTGCCATCACCGGGACATCCTCCAGAACCCTGCACACGTAAAAATCATCCTCTTCTCCTCTGACAGTCAGAATATCACCTGCATTGAACTCAAACTCTTGGGTCAACTCCCTGAGCAGCACAACCTTTCCTTTTCTCTTCATGGACATTAGTCTACTCGACATTCTCAATGGTCGTGAGGAAGAAACGCTTTCGACTTGGTCTTCTGTTAGGATTAAAGTTTTTTTCTTAGAAAGAGTCGGCAGAAGCGGTRCAGGAGAAGTTTCTTCGCTATCYGTATCGTYATTTTCGATATCTGTGTCCCCTGCCTCAATGTCGGTGTCACCGCCGGCTTCGTTCATGGCAGAAGAACTTGGAATATTGCTTGTTTGAGCTACTGGTTGATGACCTTCGGTTTCTGGTGTGCTTCCGTCTCTGAGCGTGCTTTCTCCACCAGAAAGAGATCTTTCTTGCTCAATGAGGGCAGATAAAGTAGACTGCTTTCTTGTTAAGCCTGGAGCGGACATTTTAGTGAAAGAAAATTTCTCTTAGCAACAATGTGTAAGTTATATAAGGCAMCCTCAGGAACGTGCCACTCACAACTTCTGAAAACGAGACTTCGTGTTTTGAATTTGGTAGTAAACAATCTTCTTCAGTGCAACTTTCCTCTTCTTCGTCCAACTGGGTCTTTATATATGGTAGATAATACAGAAAGCTCAGCAAAATAATAAATGAATGAAAGAAAAAGAGAGGAAGCAAATAAACACAGAATCCCGGGCAAGTTTGGGAGTCCTTCCACCCACGCCAAAGCGAACGAGCTGACAAAGGTGATTTCGTGACGCTTGCATGTATTCAATCTCAGTTGGGGGACTCCTTTGAAAAAATGTTAATCTGAAATATCTCGTTTTCCATTGCGGAAAATATAACGGAAATATTGTCAAATGTGTCTACAATATAAATAAGTTTATTTTACTGCAAATCATGCACGATTTGTTAATTTCTCTTCGTATATTTCCAATAATAATAAGAAAGAGGTGTGTCTATGGCGTGACATTAGGGGAGGGAGGGGAGGGTAAATTATTATTATTGAATTATCAGATTATGTGAAAAGAATCACTTCCTTTTTTATCAAGGTCTCTTTATATTATCTCTTTGCATTCAGGCTGGCCCTCCCGTTAAAAATGACATAGATCAAAGTAGCCTAGATAGTTTTTTGGTGTATACCWCCCACAAGCGTCATTAGCATCAAACCTAGGGGAGGGAYGGACAGTGATTTTTTGTCATTCCATTGAAAATGGCGGAAGGAGACACGATATTTGCGAAGATCATTCGCAAGGAAATTCCTTCAGAATTCCTGCACGAAGATGACCAGGYAACTAAATTTAACAGCATTTAAACTAATTTTCCAAATTCTTTTTGTTTGATGAGCAATTTGTTTTCAAATTTTCCCATTTTTTTGTCAWTTTTMAGTGTATTGCAATCAGAGACATCAATCCCCAGGCCCCAACACATGTTCTCGTGATTCCAAAGAAGCCTATCGCACAGCTGTCCAAAGCTGACGACGAAGATGAGCAGGTATATATGAATTATATCTTGTATTTCTCTGTATCAAAAAGGGATATTTATTTAACAAAAAACGTAAACTGAATAATTTTCACTTTCCTCCGCCATTTTAATAGGTAACCAAGCCTTTGATATAGATATCATTGGATAATTACTTGTCCTTGGTGTGTAAGAAGGAGTCACTCCTGTTGAAGCCTCATGTTTTCCATGTTGGGATTGAAAGTTTGGGTACCTTTCAAGAGCCCCAACCCAATAAGTGGGGTTCTGATCTCATTCCTCAACCTGTTTGTCGTCCCACTTGATGGAGACAAATGTTGCTGTTCTTAACTTTTTTCCATTGCATCTTTTTTGTAACCGTCAAACCATCTTTATTATGTCCACAGCTTCTTGGCCATTTGTTGATAGTTGCCAAAAAAGTTGCCAACAAATTATCTCTTGGTAATGGTTATCGTATCATCATTAACGATGGCCCTGATGGAGGACAAGAAGTCATGCATATTCATATCCATGTCCTAGGAGGAAGGAAGATGAAATGGCCCCCAGGTTAAAATGTTATYAGGTAAGTGTGTGCACTGTTTAACTTGGCTTTTAATCTTACATAATGGTTCCTAGACAGTGATCAAAAAAAATGTTGAGATCAGTTGGCATCAGGGATCAGAATAAGGTAATCTTCTTAGGGTGAGAAATTCAAATGTTACAAATAACGCTGACTTATTGTGTCAGAATAAAAATGTACATTCTTCCAGATTTTGTCATACACATATCAAATAACTGTGTTTTAATTTCGATCAACAGGGTACAGGTTAGATGTCACTCAACTGATGGAATGACCGATTCATTTGCTTGACTAAAAAAGCAAAGCAGAAGTTCTTAGTTTTAGTAGCAATGGATGTACTATGTTGTTTAATGTAATAAAAGAGACATTGCTTCACAAACTGAAATGTCTTTATGATGGAGGTATGCCAGATCAGGAAGGATGAAAAAATGAATGGAGGGATGAATGGAGGGAAGGAAAGGTGGAATAATTGGGGTGGGTAGATGGATGAAGAAGAAAGGAGTACATTTTTGGATTATTAAATGGATGGATAGCGGATCGATGGAAGTACAAATGAATGGATAGTGATTGAATGAATCAGCCCTTGGATGGATGGATTTTATGAGGTAAATGGATGGATAGAATGACATTTTATTAGAAAGGGATGTTCACTAATATTGATAAATGATCAATAGATTCATGAACGCCTGACACTGCTTTAGCCCCAAAAATGATTTAAAAAACTCCGAGATTCAGGGTTCCTGTGTCACTCAATACACAGGAGGCCCAAAAAGAGGAAATCAAAATGGCGTCTGAAAGGGAGCTAGCAGAACAAGCGGCAAAACAACCGAAAAATTCAGACACTGTCTTTGGGAGAATTATTAGACATGAAATTCCAGCAACATTTCTATACGAAGATGAAAAAGTAAGAAAAATTTGCAGTAGTTTTACACTYAAAAGGTCCCCATACCAATTCCTTCTATCAYCTGCACCGGCATCATGGTAAAAATCCCTGTTGTAAATTCTCTGTTTCTAGTGTGTAGCCATTGATGATATCAAYCCTCAAGCACCAGTACACTTTCTTGTGATCCCAAAGAAACCAGTCCAAATGCTATCCACAGCAACAGAGAATGATGCTGAAGTAAGCAAAATCGGACATTGATTTCGTTTGTTATTGTATTACTTCCGGTGATGCAGTTGGGGGATGGTGTAGGAAGTTAAGTATGCCTCGCATAAGACATTTATATGTGTCATTGACACTTTCTTCTAAGTTATTGTTCCCCCCTTTCCGCTCTGAGCAACAGTTTCCTCCCTTGCTCCCTGTTGATAGACAGAAATTATCAACAGGTGAAAGAAGTATCCATATGGAGCCATGAATTGTATAAAATTGCAATTTCTTTTTTTCAGATTCTAGGGCACTGTTTAATTGTAGCAAAAAAAGTTGCTGAAAGAAAGGGCATCAGTGAAGATGGTTATAGAGTAGTTATTAAYAATGGGAGGCATGGCTGTCAGTCAGTGTATCATGTTCACTTCCATGTCATAGGAGGGCGCCAGTTAGGTTGGCCACCTTGCTAAGTTGTGTATAATAGTATCTTTTATGTTTCCTGCACCATCGTGAAAGGTAGCCGTTGGCTTTACATCGAAGTGTGATAACCAAGGAGCAGGGATGCCAACTGCAAGGTAATTTGAGTTTTAATAGACGAAAAAAGGTTTTTAAAAAAACTGATATATGAATCGTCATTATCCGGGAGATTTAGCGGTAAAATCTTGAGACCGGGAGAAACGGTCGAAAATCTTGAGATCTTGAAATCTTGAATCTTGTCTCAAGATTTTCGACCGTTTCTCCCGGTCTCAAGATTTTACCGCTAAATCTCCCGGATAATGACGATTCATATATCAGTTTTTTTAAAAACCTTTTTTCGTCTATTAAAACTCAAATTACCTTGCATTTCATTTTAGTTCTGAAAAAATACAACAATCCCAGTCTTCTGATAACAATAACACTGCACGCCATCCGCGGCCATTTTCAATTGCACAATACAATCTATAATATGATTGGTTAAGATACATCCAGTCAAATCACTAGTTATAACGAAATTTGATAAATGCGATGACGTCATCGATAATGTTATGAAACGTCATWTYCGGTATGACGTCGTCATTTTCGTTCTCAAGATTTGAAAAGTTCGGGGGTTGGCATCCCTGAATGAGTGTGCAATGTATAGTTTAAAACACGAGAGAGTGTTTTATCAGGTATAAAGATTGGAGCCCAAGGCTTTACATCGAAGTGTGATAACCAATGAGAGTGCAATGAGATACATACAAATAATTGTCTGTCAATGAGATAGGTTTATTGCATGATCAACAGTCCATGCAAAAGCACGGCTACCTTTCAAGATGGCGCAGGCCACCATGAAAAGGACTATTAAGCTTATTTATTGGTAGCACCCATTTGACTCATAAAGTCTTGTTGTATAGTACATTCTTGTCTCCAGACCACCAGACTATTTGGCATGACGCTACTCGCTTTGTCTTGTACTTGTGCCAAGTCAAATGGCACCTGTCAGTTTAATTCGACTGCATAGAGTGGTCTGGACATGAGTTAAGTTATAACTGCACACTAATGGCATTTGAACAATGTAATAAACAAGATTTTATGTGTTGTCACTATCTGCATTGTACAAAATGTACCCCTCCCCCTCAATAACATGGATGTCCTTCAAAGTAAATCACCRTGACAACCAGCTAGTGAAGTCACCTTGCTACAATGCAAACATGTGTTAAATAAATTTATTTTCCAAGATGCTAGAGTGCTCGCACTAAATGCGTGAAATATAAATACTACAAAATAGGTGATAAATTATACAAATTTCTTTGTTTCCTATTGTATRATCAACACTATTTAGTAGTAATTAGTACTATTTGTTTCACGCTTTAAGTGCGAGCACTCTACTGTGAAGGAGACTGGCGGTATTGCGTCTTGAAAGACTGTAGTGTGTCATTTCAAAATTCTCTCCTCCCCCAGGTCCCCATTTTGCTAATTCAATGTGCTTAATTGCTCAAAACCAAAGAAAACACACCAAACATTGCGTATTGACTTCACACAAAGCAAAGTTTAATGAGTCTTTTCATTGATATAATGCATTTGAAACTAAAGACAAAGGTATTTCATAAAAGAAACGATTATGTATGTACATACATTTAGAATAGAACTTTTCTGGGTATTTTATACAAAAAGAACTAGATAAGTGTTTTTCTTTTTTTTCCTGTAAATTAGATTTATTCTGTGGTAAATAAATAATCAAATTTATATATTTTCAGCATTTGATGCAATGCAAATGTGCTTGCAAATAGAGTAAAAAAAGGTGCTAGTTGCACTTTGTTCCAAAGTAGTAGTCTGAATTATCAAGACTATGTTTCAGAATCAATTAAAATTCATTGAATTCAAAACTGCTAAAAGCAAGCAGAGAAACCAAGAAGGCAAATAGAGTATCTGCAATCCCTAGTAAATTGTGCATTTTAAGAATAATTATTATACTGAATGTCACTGGAAGTAGTTTTGCATAGTAGCTCAGCTGTAGTGAACCCATAGCACCAAAATTCAATGGCAATGATAAAATACACTGGGCAAGTTGTAAAAAGGCTGGATGAAGTTAATCCACAAGATACAAATAGATTTTCAGAGTGATTTTCTGTATACAGTAGCTTTTTACAAACTAGATAGTCTTTCATTTCTGTATACAGTAGCTTTTTACAAACTTGATAGTCTTTCATTTCTGTATACAGTAGCTTTTTACAAACTAGATAGTCTTTCATTTCAAACACAAAGAACATAAATCGCATATTACAGATATATAGCAGCCATCTTGAATGCTCAGAAGGTGCAGAAAAAAAAGTATGTTTTATACATTGCTAACCTTCAAAACAACCACCAAATGTTTTTGGTTATTTCTGCTTAAAGGCACAGAAATTTTTAAATTAAAACCACTTCTTTTTTTCTTTGCTTTCCTCTTTTCAAAAGAGAAGAAAGCAATGKCTTTCAAGATGGATACCAGGCCTGTCAAAGACCCATTTATCCAGTAGATATATTCATCCATTCTTCCTACAATTGTCCCAGAGCACAACTACAGTATTATAACAGTTCCAAAAGATTTCTGTTGACAGGCTTATAATGCCTTGTTCTTTGATGTATCCTGTACAAGTCAAAGTCAAAACCTCCATAGCTATACGGCTCTATAATTGACTGATGCAAAATTGAAATAGTCGTCTTTCATATCATAAAAATATATCTGCTTAAGTTGCAAATTTTGGATAAATAAAAGTATGCGCAAAACGTGGAAATAGACAGCTTTTGGCAACGAATGATTGTGAGATAAAGAGAGCGTTTGGAAGCGAAAGCATGTGGCATTATATATTATGTTTTCAGTACTATAGTGTAATATATATATTGAACCTAAGTTTGCAGTTTGAATTACACTGCTTAAAAGTAACAGCTTTGCCTTTCCTGAAAGCAATATTATATTGTCTCTTTAAACTTGAGAAGAAGAAAAACATTTCTACTGAGCTTTTCTTCTTAGTCTGATTTTTGAACTCTAATAATCACTATCATACTTTCATGATCAGATTTTGTTAAAAGGCTAATAATAGTCTTCTTTCATTGGGATTCCTGTGTAATCCAATGGATGTGAGAAGACTGGTGAATTATGGAGTTTTTGCTCTTTTCAATCCCTCTCAGGTTATGAACACAGGAATCCCAAAACTTGACACCWGCAAAGATGGCCTTTTTCACAGCTTGCTAGATAAGCTACATGTAATCATCAATCRGATTGTGATGACTGACGGCCTTGTCGAGCAAATAAAACTCCTTGGTATGCAACTCCATTTAGTTCAACGGAAACAAGCAGTGAGTTGTCGCTAACTTGGTCCAGTAGTGTGAGAGGTAGTTGTCTCGTCTCACGGCTTCTTGGAGAAGTTGGCTCTTGATAATGGCCTTGACTGGACAGTGAAAAACCTATGAAACATAAATTTCAAGTCAGTTTTAAGTAGTATTTACTTTATTTGATCATATTTATATGAGAAGCATTTACATCATGCAAAAAATGTTGAAAAAGATTGCCAAAGGAGCAGAGCATTAAATCTGGCTGCCTTTTAACCCCAAAGTGTATTGCCTTCAAAAAACGTTAAAACTGATAGAAAGTGGACAGAGTTAATGAAAAAATCTCAAAATCATAGAAAATGGTAAGAACATTTCTCTCTGGGCGTTGGCTAAGTTCTTTCTGCATTAAGCCTGGTTTCCATATAATCGTTACAATCGCTAGGATCGCCACGATCGCCGAAAATTTCAACGATCGTAGCGATCATATGGAAACACTCTCCAGCGATCCTAGCGATTGTAACGATTATATGGAAACCAGGCTTTATGTAACTTGATAAGAACACACTTAAAGAGACACATTTAACGCAATTTTGTTCCAGTACATCGTCGCGTACCTTTAGGAGGAGTCTGGATCTTAATATGAGTCCACGGTAAATTGTGATGCGGTCGCAAGTCCCGCTCACTTCCGCTAGCGAACTTTTTAACGGGCGATGATGACGGTGACGAATCAGACGCGGAAATACGTCGGTCCATGTCGGGACTATGCGACCKTTTTCCGACRCTGTCGGTAGACTGCCGGTGYACGACGCCAGGCGAATGAAGTAGCGATACCCCGTTGTTACCATGTAAGCCGGGAGAGACGTGGCTCTGCAATAAATAACGTCGATGTTTTCAATCTACACTTTATAATCGCGCCGTTCTTAACACGCGTCAGTAGAGGCAAACGGCGGACACGGGCAACAGACTCGACTTTCGCACCTGGCGTTGTGCGTACTCAAACAAATCAGCCACTTTTCACGTCAACGGCAAATGTACATAATATAGAGTTTAAGCATCGCGTTAAAACTGCTATGGCAGACGCAAAAAATGCCAAGTGCTTTTTTTGTGATGCTTAAGCTCTCTAGTATACTTCAAGTATCAATAACGTAGTATTCGTATCAGTAAAAACTTATCMCGACGTATATATTGTCAATATCGTGCGACAAAGGAAACTTTTCGCGTTGTATAGCAAGGGTAGAGTAGATTTCGCATCATTRCACAAAARTCATGTTTACGGCGAAAATGAAGCACTACTCTTTAAGCCAAGCGTAAATCCATAGGAATTCAAGTTTAGCAAAACTCGGACTTTAAACACTACGGCACTGCAGGATACTCCTATACTTACATCTTCTCCAGTTGGTGATGGCCCTGGACTTGGCCTCAGCCCAGGTGAATGGTTACTAGAGTATGCCATGGAAGATGGGGGGCTCCCTCGACTGTAGCCACTGTCAAGGGGCGGCGTACCAAAAGTTCCGTATGTCCGTCGGCTATCTCGTCTGTTTCCGTCAATTGCAGACTGCAACTCGGACGGCGAAGAAAGTTTTCTTTTGAAACATTCATAAGGATAGAGATATTTCATATACCTAGGAAAGAGCGAATTGTTATTGTTATTAATTGCATAATTTTTTTCTCTTTGAAGGCATTTCACTCTAAAAAGTGCCAAACATGGCAAAGGAAAATGTGTGGTAGAAAGCCACGTCCCTGTTGGTGATTTTATACGAGTTGTATTCGATACATTCAACTTACTGTGTTCTTAAAGTAAATGCTGCACTTGTTACAGACGCGGGTAGATTAAGACCTTTAATAATTTCGCGCCAAATCTTTTTATTTATAACCTGAAACAATAAAGATGGGATCAACATTATTGCTAGGATATTAAAAGTCATGGTCAAACATGAGCGCCGTGGACACACAAATAAATTCACGAGTTGAGATCAAAATCATCCGAAAACATACCTCTACTAATCCTCCTTTATCTACTACAAGACGAAATAATTTGTACAAATCTAGAGTTTGTTTTGCCATTATGGGTACTCTATTAACAGGCGTCCCTAAGAAAACGAAAGAATTGTTTTAGTGAATATTTTATYACCACACTCATTTTTATTATTTGTATGTGTCTAGCAAGGTACCGAGTCCTTCTGTAGTATCATTATTCAGAACTAGTCCATTTTACAGTTACAACTCGAGATTGGAAAACAAGATTGAAGTTTTCGAAAACTTCAAAATGAACCTTCAAGATTTCATGAGCGCGTAGTTTTGGCGGGAATTTTTCGCGTGCGCACAATCTAGAAATTCAGCGCGCGCGTGTCGTTTCCGAAAATGGCGGGAAATGTCAGGAAGAACCAAAAAATGGAAAAAAGAAAAGCAATRTCAGTCATTTCTAACAATTTTCAAATCAAACGATCAGAGTATCGCCTTCTAGTATATTATAGCTGGTGCGATCAACCTAAATACGATTTGAATCGCCGGAGGAAAACCATAATTTAATTTTCTGGAAATRATTTTGAGAATTGTCGTTTATTTGAATCGGAAAATGTCATTTGTCAGTTCGAGGGCAATTCAATTCGCATTAACAGTGATTATCAATAAAATCCGGCATTGAGCTTGATGCACTATGTATTAAAGYGAATGAGACCTGAATAAAATATTCCACAACCAATTTGCTGAGAATTGGCAGTAAAAATATTGAGGCGTGTATCCGCATATGTTWTTTCAATGTGAGTAATTTTACTTGAATAGCTTTATCGAGACCTTTTTAAGGATATAAAAAATCATAGTTTTAACTTTTTATTTAGCGTCTATACCAATAAAATCGATACCCTTTCACTTCGATATTTTGTGCGACCAATACCGGATACCATACGATACTTTTCCACCGATTAGACAAATGGCTGAGTCAACTMTTTGAAGGGCTGAAACTTCTTTGTGTTGATTAAATGTAAAAGCACTGGCTGCTTTTTATTATGGGCTCAAAATTTGTAGTTTTTCACGCTACATTTTTTTCTTTCTTTCTTTTCGTTTTATCCCTTCTGATAAATTAACAATAGTCATTAGGGACTACAATTTGTTTATCCACGGCTCAAGGAAGTCGAGAAAAAGGGTGAATGAACTGCGGTTTTAACCRCGAAAAACTATAAAACGTAAAACCAGAGCAGTTTACTACCAACACGATCTYCTTTCGCTAAACTCGCCCATATAGTAAACCATCAATGAACTGCGGGTTTTGATGTGGTTTGAAAATCAGTTAAAATCTATCGCTATTACAGTCTCGAACCCTTTCATTGACCTTTTGATGCACGTCGCTCTGTATCGCGCAAAAGTACCTYTTTATCATTTGAAAAGCGTTCAAAATAAACCAAGTATTGGTGAATGTGCGGTGTTTATGTCGGTTGGATAATAAAATAGCGATAAATATATAATGAAATTTGGGTTKAAGATGGTCTTTTTACCTCTTTTTTGCATAAATGTGAATAAATCATCTAAAAACACTTTTCTGTCTGCTTCTTCGCCCAATTCATAAAGCTGGAATACAAAAAAGTATAAATATATCATTTTAATCATATTAGCTGGATTTTCGGCTTTTTAAGCCGAAACTATATACAATGTAAAAGGTCACAAAGTTAGACTCCTGAAAAGAAGTCACATTATTAGATTTTAATAGGGATTTTTAATTATCGCTGGGTCAAAACGACCATAATTCGACGTCAAGTGCCATTAAATTCCCTAATACACAATTGCATTGAACTTGTTTTTAATTTGCGGTCTCGGAATGGGTTGGTTTTTCTTGCACAAACAAAGCCATTTCAATCACGCAAAAAAATAAAAAAGATATTTTCTTATTTGGAAAACAATAATGATGTTTGTAATTTTCGAGATTTGCATTGCTTTGGGAACCAAAACAAACAGTTAATCTCTGTAAAATGGCTTCAAAACAACACACAATTGCTGTGACTTGTATGACTCAGCGATTGTTTGRCAAAAATATGTATTCAATGCACACAAATAACTGTGACTTGTGCGTGCACTTTCACGTCAACTTCCCATCGTTTTTATCAGAAAAGAAATTGCGACATAAGGAATCGAAATCATAAACTCATGTAGATCATTGTTAAAATRTCGCAATAAAGTGGGTCCGCTCCACATCATCATTTCGTAATCCGAAGTTTCAGTCCCTAAAAACGAAAGATAGACACAACTTTATTAACAGGACGATGTGAGTGTCCGAGWACATAACAAAATAAGCCATTGGAAAAGCTTTAAAGGATTAAGATAAATTGGCGATTATTGCCTAAAACGTATAAATATAGTTCAGGGTGTGTCCTCGCCATCCCTTTGAAGTTGTACATCGAAAAGATGGTGCAATTCAGTCGATTTTAATGTTAAAACTCAACAATTTCAATCTTCATTAGTTGACGGAGGAATAAAACGTTTTAAATTACTTTTGTTCAGAGAAAAACTCGACATACTACCCCTTTCCTGAACATTGAAATCTGAAAACTTCCGAAGGGATAAACACATTTCTTTTCTCTACACACAACAAAAATAAGTACAGTTCTTACAAATACTTACAGAAAAAAAAAAACGATTTAATGTAGGTTGTCTTGTCTTAAATACAATCAGTTATTTAAGTTATAGGACAACTATTTTTGTGGAATAATCGGATAGAAAATATTGATATTATAAAATGATTCCCGCCAAAATCAACCCTAACGCGCACGTCAAGATGCCCGCCGCGGTTGGCTTGAATAGACAGAATTCATGGCTGCAAATGTTTCCAATTAATACAATTATTATAGCGTTCGCTTTACAACAAATTCATCGATTATAATACTGACTAGCGGTTCTTGAGATGGCACCATCGAGTCTCTCCATGCGGTCACGAAGAGTTGCAAATTCCTATAGATCAAGATGAAAAGTTCAGGTCCGGTTGAAAAAAAAAAAAGATACAAAATTGTGTTAAACTTCCAAATACTTGAATACTAATTCAATTCTAACAGAGTGAAGCAGCTTGTTATTAATAATACTAGAGATGAATAAGTTATGTCCTTTGCAATGAATTGTAAAAAAAAAATAAGTCTTGGAATTGAACACATTTCGCATTGCGAACGTTTGATGTTATTGGGAAAAATCCACAAATAATTCTTTCTGGATGTCCTAAGTTATTAAAGACATCAAAAGATTTKAAGGTTGTTTTTTAATTACGTCTTGGAAGTTTAGAATTCCTAAATGTGGTTTTTACAGCCTTAGTGGCTCAATCACATCACCTGGTTGTGATTTTATCGGCATTTGTGGAAACTCTCCACTTTAGGAGAATTTCCCAGCTACTTGACAAATCAATGCTTCGTTAGTGWGRAGAAATTTCGATATATTCACRTTAAATACTTCAGAAGTTCAATGTTTTCACTTCGAAACAAAWATTCTCGGCCTTTTGTATTTGAAAAGGCTTCCAGTTGAATATTAATGTGTGGATTAATGAGAGAATAATCGCGAGRAATCCAACTCTTCAGAATTTCAAGATGGCTTCCTTTTACATGCGAAACTGTATATGTTTGATTGCAAAATCTTCTATCGACATAGAAACTCAGTTAAACTAAAAAAAAGTATAGAGTAGAATATTGCAAACGAGATAAGAAAAACCTTTATGATAATGAAGATTCATAATTCAGTATTTTACAGATATTTTGCGATTAATAATTAAGTGATTACTTTGAGTCTGTCATCCGAATAAAGCCTCAAAAAAATAACTTTAAAGTGATTGTAATGGTTGACAAAAATAACTGACAGAAAAATCGCCACRTCGAAAGCTTTATTTCCTAAACGACATAAAATCGTATAAAAAATYGKGAAGAAAAATTTTAATATCAAGTCGACGCCCATATAATCACCCCACCCACACCGAACAAGACAACATCACAAGTTGTCTTTTTAATTACAGAGACTCTTATTCCGGATTCAAAGACAAACACAGCGATTTAGCAAATGTAGTTCGGCTGTAATTTCCCGATTTCTGATTAATCCACTATTATCTGGGCATCTTTGAGCTAGGATGTCTATATTATAGCCAACCAACATCCCACTGGCCTGTATATATGGTAATTTCAATATGCAATTACAAAATCCAAAGTGTTATTAAAAATCAAAGTCGAACAGCTGAAAGATATAATTAATCAATCGAATCCATGAAAGGCCAACTCTTTTATTCCAAGCGATTTYCTAGTTGTTCAAAACTTCCTTGAACGGAATACAGTTTTATTCTTCTGAAGCAATTCCGTGAGAGAACGAAATACATCAATTTGCGTATAAGATTCATATCTTTAAGGTCGTTATCAATCTAGTTTAAACAAATTAATTCAAAATAACTGAAAACAACGAAGGAAGAGCTATATTTAGGGGTTGAAAAGACGGTTTTTTAGGGATTTTCAATGTGGGTTCCAAGGTAGACCAGAATGTAATACTATTACTTTGAGTAAAAAATAAGATTTGCTTGTGGTCGGAGATAAAATCTCTTTTTCATTTGCCTTAATACATTCTATAAGTCTCACTCTCTTTTTAAAACTTGAAACATCATTTTGAGGARTAATGCCGCAAAAAGACGGAAACCTTTATTGCTATTATCAATTCCACCGAGTGTCGGGGTTATTTTTAAGTAAAACTTCACTTATTCAAAAATATGCCAAAATTATGAGTCGCAAAGACTCGAAGCTAGCATTTTTCGGTTTTTCTGACAAACAAGCCTCCATYTTGTCTCTGTTACAGATTCAACACTAAATACACATGACAAAAACGCAGTCCGCAAGCTGCGATTCAAGTTTTGACGCGTCGAAAGTTACGAAAACAATACGATATCACGTTTGATATCAAAAATGTTTGTACAAAAAGAGTTTGCGATGAATGATTTTCCCTCTATTTACTATTTTATTTGCTTTAGACGAAGCAATCTGCCAAACTTGCTCAACCGTCCTAAAACATCTGATAACGAAGAAAATGGCGCGTATGTCAAACTTTACACCGAATCGCATTCGTTCGGTGTCGACATTTCTTCTTTTCAGGTTCGGCTTGGCCATCTTTTTGAGATTTTGTAATTTTTATATCAAATTTAATTGGTTTGTATCATTTTAACCAAGCCGAGTCTAATTAAAATAAATCAACAGAAAGATCCYAAATTAACAAGATCTGCCAAAGGGAAGCTAACAAGATACATGTGAAGGAAATCTTAGTCTTATTAATGAGTGTTCTGGGCAAATAATTAAAACCAAATATGTCCGTTTCAACATCAAGGCCACTACAAAAACTTGACAGATTTTGAAGTTAAATAAACTCTTATATCAAGTGATTTTATAAGGCAATTTTATCCGACGCGCAATCAAACTGGAAAGCAAACAGAATCTATCTTTCATCGTCCTTCTATTCAATTTCCAGAGGTTTGATGGAGGCTCCATCTGCAATGTCAAATGAAGATCAAACCGACATTGTGTTCAATAAATAAATCATATTTCTGACGTTAATTGGGCATGCGAAACTCCACAAACAGTGGTCAATTTGGCTGAATCTCCCGGCTCTCTGAATAAACACGAWTTCGAAGGAATATGACAAAGTTCGTAGCGATAACAAAGGCAAAAAAAAAAACATTATAGAAACTACCTTATAAATTATAGATTATAACATGAAGAATTTTATATCTCGATTTAAAATCATTAATTTACAATGAAGGTCGAATTGGTATCTCAAGGACAAAGAATTTAATCTTGAATTTATATTAAAAATAAGTAGAGCCATAGAAAGAAATGGTATCTGAAAAGGTGGGAATAAAATTAAGACAATTTCATTTTTCTATTCATAATTATAGACGAGAATGTATATTGCTATTCCAAAACGCAAAATCAATCAATGAGTCTTTTGTTTTTGTTGAAAATTTCATGCTTTCGGCTTCCGAAAGAAAATACGATATAATTTTCAGTGTATTCATATTTGAAAATAAAACTATAAATATAAAATATGCGATAGCAATTCAGCGTTTTGTCAATAATATTTTGAATTCGAATCAATTAAAATTATTGCTTCATTTAGGGGATTCAATCAATTTGACGAAAGCCACAATACGAAGATTAACTAAATTATTATTAATTTCTTTGAGACGCAGGCACATGGTGAAAAATGACAATTATTAAGCTTTAAAAATTGATAAACGCAAAATGAATGCTGAAAAATTACAGCCTTTTTAGAAAAAAAAAATGAGTGTCATCTACGCCAATTAGATTCGACTGAATGAATGAGTTCATGACCAGACGCCTCAAGATTTACGATTTCCCTCAATTAAAAAGGAATTTCATAAGAATTTTTTTAAGATCTAAGGTATAGTGACCCTTTAAGCAGGATAAAACACAGACTAGAAATTCCATATATCTTCACAAATCATAAACATTTAACAGATAAACGTATTAGCTAAATAAATTGGGTTTAGCTTCCTATCAGAGTGCCTAAGTTAAGACCTATAAGCGGCTTATGTGGTACTTCTAGCATTAAGTCAATGAGCTACCCTAGTGTATCATAGCGAATTCCTCGCTCTACAGAAATAAATGTGACATTTAGCCACTCATCTTGTACATCAAAAAATTGAAACCCAGCACAATCCTTGATCACAGGTTTCGATAGTAGTTYTTTCCAAAGCCGAAAAGTAATCTTCAAGGCCATGCTTAAAAGCATTAAGCTGTGCAAGAAGAAGAYGGCACTTGAAAATATATAAAAATGTATCAATGTTCTAGTTTCTTCCAGTATAAAATTATAAAGTGGGTATAGCTTTGAAAATGATTAAGGAAATAAAAGTTTGAGTCACTTTTCAACTGAGTCACTGAGAACATTTTATAAATCTATGTAATGTGTTCAACAGTRTGTTTTTCACAAGTAAATTTTAAAAGATAATTATATTCATTTTTAGGTATTCTGGGGTTTGGTTACAATGAGGTATAAATTCAAAGAAAAAAACAGTATTGTAGTCCTATGTTGTTGACCACATTTTACACTTTCATGCCAATGAAAATAATGCAGCAGGGGGATTTTTTTCATGGTGGAATTTAAAATGCAATATCAGTGATGAATAAAACATAGCCTGTACAATCAAACACTAGGTTATTGAATTAAAATTACTTCTTATGTTCAAGGGATTTATCTCTKGGAACACCAATTGGCGAAATTATAATTAGATATTTAATTGAATTGGAGCATATCCAAAAAAGAAATCTTAAAACGATTCAAAGACKCGAGTTTACCTAAGCAAAAAATTAAAGGAAAGTGTATTTTTGCTCTCGATGATTAAAGAAAATAAACACAGGCTATATAAATGGGAAAYTTGCCTCTTTGTTAGGAAAACAGTATACATGTTATTTACTTAAGAGAGATAGGGTATTTTCTGGAACAAAATGGAGTTCTTTTATCACAAAATAGCTTGCAATAGAAAGGAAATTCCATTATTTCAKAAGATAAATCTACACAGCATTACCCAGCTATGTATATTTTTACTTTACTTTAACTAAACACAATCAAAACAACTTCAAACAAAAACAGATAAGCAAATTCTCAATCAAATAATAATGTAAGAGTTCAGCAGAAGCCAGCAGAGACCCCAAAATAAAAGATTGCCTCGATAAATCTTAATTATCAAAATGCCAGCAAAAGAAATGAGAAATTTGTTTTTTGTTTACCCAAAGACGAACAAGAAACAGGAACTCAAGGTCAGAATTAGAATTTTCAGAAAATATTATTTAGCTCAGGGCTTCCTCAGCAAATTAAATGTGGATTTTACCCAATCAAGGTTGGGTTATTTTCTGGATGGCTAATGGTATGACATTTAGTTTATGAGATAGATAACATTTCTAATGAACAGGAAGCATACATAGAAATCCCAGATTAAACTTGATTAAATCTCAAATGTGAACTGTGCATGGATGATTATAAAAACATTATGATTTTTTTTCGCTAATTCTATTTTTTTATTGAAATTCCTCAACTATCTTTCACAATATCAAGCTAGCAAATCTCAAAAGGTATTACTCAATGGAAATACTTCTTAGCGACACAGGGAAGATTTGCCCAAAAGGGTGGAATGTAGAAATACTCAAATTACACCTTACAAAGGTGATAGATCAAAAGCTACAGGGAAAAATCACTAGACAATAAGGATAATTAGTTATTTGTGGGCTGCATTCTTAAATCACAACAAGCCGATAACAAATAAAATAACATTTAGCCAAAATTATAATTTTTCAGGAGAAAAACTATTACAATTCATCATCTATGGAAAGACTAATGAGACAGTGCAATGTACTTCAGTACAGTTATTACAATTTTAAATTCAATTGTCTGTTTTATGAATTGCAAGTGAATARCAAGCCTAATATAGAAAACCTCCTGGTTATGTTTCTCTGTATTCCCATTTCAGCCAAAAGCTACATATTATCAATGTATTGTACACCTTATTAAAACAGTTATAACCCAGCTTCCTCTGCACAAATAAAAAAATAAATAGTCCAGAAATGAGGATACAAACATGATATACCATATTAGAAGAAGAGAAAGAGTCAGAGCACCAACAGAGATGTTAGTTAGCTGGACAGCTATTTCTTGAAACACCTGTAGTCTACTATATATCTGTCTATATAATCCACATAAAAAAACCTCTGATATAGTCGAATAAGAGTTCAAATAGTGGATTCATAATCAAACAAGAGTTACAATCATAGACATTAGGCAAAGTAAACAGTCATAGATAGTATGATTAATAGAAAACTATAATTGAGGATTCTATGATGGGAAATGTCAAATTGTTTGACTGGCAAATGGTCTAACAGAAGTATCTGAGCGGAAATCATCGGGCTAAAATCGTCTCCACATCAGCCTTATATTAACTGAAGCAGAATTGATTAATAATGTATGGCCAAGAGGTCTCAGAACTACGTAGGAAATTTTTAATATGAAGCTTAGTAGGTCTACGAATATTGGATTCCGGCGAAATAAATCTCAATGGAAACAGCCATTTCCATTGTSTTAGGCACTCGAGTCTTTGGTTTCATCGATCAAAGGGCCAAATGTCGCACGTAAATTGATTATTTTTTTGTGTGATTTAAGTTCCTGACTGAGCGAAAGCCTAAAGGATGGATTAAATGTGATATTCACCGGGACAATATGTAAATGAGACACTTTTTAATTGTCACAATACAAGCGGAGGTAAAACAATACTATGGTCCAAAATTCTACCGGTGAAAAAAAATACATACTTGAAAAAGTGATATCTTTGCAATAGGGCCCCCTACTCCAAGATCACAAGGTGAAAACCCCAATCATACGCCGTTCTTGAATACTTCTAGCACTTAATATTCGCAGTTGTGCCAGAGGCAAATCATATCAACGATTTTTTTTATTAATAACCGTTTGAAAGATCAGCGGCCCTGACATTCCTAGAGAATGTGCGTTTAGACACAAATACTGAGCCCAAATTTTTGAAAAGATGTAACACAGCTGAAATTAACCCAAGTGGATTAATTGTAAACAAAGGGGGTAATGAACGAAATACCTTATACGGTTGAATATTTTGGGTAATTTCACATTCATCGAAAGCCGGCATTATCAGTGTACCGGTTCTTCATAACAATGCGCTCGARCGCGAGAAGCGTGGCCGGTTCAAAATGACCACATTCGACCGGGCAATTATCAGTGTCCAAAAGAATGAAAACCCTTGGCTCAAAAGGTTAAGGTTACGATGTAACAGCTCAGAGAGCGATACCTGTTTAAACTGCTCCTCGAATGTCCATTCATGTGAAGAAATCCTGTCCACGTTAGGACTCGAGTTCAGATAGCTACTATGTTCCGATTCGGACGGGGACTCTTGTTTAGGAATTCGACTTTGAGCAACAAAACTCGGAGGATCTCGGATTTTGTCCTCGTCCTCGTAGACGATCGGTTTTCGAGGTCGATATTTCTGTTCTTCGAAGTTCACGTCTTCAGTTTCTTCCATGGAGCGCTGAATGTCATCCAATTCAGCCATTCTGCTCTCTACAATCCCAAAACTTCGATTACTGGTTGACCGTTCTCGTTCCCCAAGGACTTTTGGCCCGTCTCTTTCTCCATTCTAGAATGAAAAAAACATCCACACGTTTAGGAAATTACAGCCATGGAAAATACGGGGACCCGAGGCTACGGCCGTCCACACTCCATTTTGATTAATCTGTAGATTATTCAGGATATCAAATGAAAATGCAAATCAGTACAAGTTGTGAGAGAGAGTAGACTTACGATTCCACCGTTTTCTGTTTCCGCGGTAGGCTTTTCCATATCCAGGGGTGTCTCTCCTTTAAAGGTCCTTTCTCTTAAAACCTTGTAAGAATGAAATAATGTTATAGTGCTGTTGRCGRTATGTACTGCAGCGGCGGACCCATAACTTAACCCATGCCGGGTTCAAATGTCGAGTGACACTGCATTGATGGGGCATTCCATTGAAATCAACAACCAATGACATGCGCATTACACCCCCCGCGCATCTCTAGCTCAATCAGAAGATACAGGTTTTTGATTGGCAACGAGCACGTTTAATCAAATACTTGGAGCATTCCAAAWCGATGTCCCAGGAATATTATAATGCTCGAATAATTGGAATCGCTCTAGGGACGTCCATTGAATTTCACTTTGGAAATCATTCATATTAGCGATAAAACACTTTTTTTTYATTCTAACTGATCTTTACTGAGATCGACCAATGGTAGTAGTGCTTCTACTAGCTTTGATAGCGAAATGACCCTGGTAATTAATTAATCAAAACAATAAAAAAGATCACGTGATCTTGTTTTTGATCAGCGACTTGTTTTTAATCAGAGWTTTTTAGTTGATCAAAATCGAGATTAATCAAGCTTCTCGAAATGATAATTTAAAATCGCGGCTTGAAGTAAAAAAACATGATTTTTGGATTTGGATTTTCAGTCTATTTATTCCATGTATAATGTTTTATCTGTGGATTTGAAATCTCGCTGTGGATGATTTCAGTGGGGCGCATGGAACTCATAATTCTAACACCCACGAAGTTGTTATTAAAACAATAAAAGCAGAGTTTAAGTAAATGATCGAATGGCCGCAATGATACAGCCCTATACMATCAATTTATCATGCATTTCAAAAGCCGGGACCCAAAAAGAACACATATAATCGCGCCGTGAAATCAACATCGAATCTTTGATCGGCCCGAAAATCACCTTAAGTTTTTCACGCAATTAATACACGGCAAATAGTAACAGTGTTATTTTTGATGTTTTAATAGGAAAAGGCATAATGTTCTCAGCTGCGCTTTAATTAATTCGAGTAAAATTCTGTAATTAATAGAAGCTACAACAGCACGCGTTTGATCATCACTTTTTTCATTTGCTTAATCCCCAAGCAATCCATCTTGTGAAATTTTCATTTCTGTTTTTCCTCGGAGTCAACTAATTACCTTAATAAAATATCATACTTTTATATATTTTGATATCTTTTTTTGTGACACTTACGAATGTAATCTGACTCACCACGTACAAGGAATTTTTATCAGTTCCTTAATTTTGCGCTAAACACGGAAGGAAATTGCACTTGAGAACAAAATATTTAAAGTCCTTTATTAAAGCTTGGGTATAATTGGTCTTTTGATTCTGGACGTCTATTAGGTTGATATCACAGGACCGAATTTGAACCAATAGCCAATGAATAATAATTGCCATAGGAGTATTGCTGAGCAAGTAAGAATGCGATAGGCGCTAGAAAGAACATGTAATTAATAAAAATTTTAAAAGATTTGACTACAGGAGAAAATACCATTAGAAACTCGCTATAGATCTTTTGGAGATCGATTTAATCGAGTTTCGTATCTTAAGCCTACAGCGCAATCTAATTTTCCTCGCGAGTAAATTGTTATGAAGGCWTGGGAATCAACTCAAACATCGGAAATGATACAATGAAGATTCCGAAGACCAAATAATTTACTGTTTTTTATCGGCGATCGTGGCTGATGCTTAATCAGAATTCTGAGTTCCGATTTTTTTACCGATCAAAGCACACAGGTGCGCAGTGATTAAATTTTTTCCTTCTTGTGCCTTTTATATTAACTCCGAAAAAAATCATCATTACGCTTGCTGCGGCACTTGACTTTGTGATTTGTTGATTCTACCTAAAAAGCGATTGAATTCTTTAGAGAATCAAGAAAGACTATAATGAAACTATTATATCAGATCACAACGATTGGAATAAGGAAACACAATTTAATGCAATCGATCCTCCAACTTCTTAAAACTCAACTACGCCTTATACTGAATCTGAGAGCAAGAATTTATCCTGGGATAAAATATGTAGTAAAAGTGAAAACGTTGCGCAAATTAAATTCCTAATGCGCAAATCGCGTCGTTGAAATCACTGGCATTTCGATTCAAGAGTCAATTTCATATCTTTGATCAAATGCCCGCACTCGGTATAGAAACAATTTAGGGTTTTGAGCTTACCTGATGGGGCTTGACTCGTTGGTATTGCAGAGGCTCTCTGTACGCTTCTGGATAACGGTCGGACGGTGTCACAGTGCTGACCAATAGAGCTCTATCTCTTGTGTACATCGCCTCTAAAGCCCTGCTATCAATAACAAATTTGCATCTATCAAGTCATGAGATCCACTCTCCATTGCCAGTTACGGTGACTTTAGATTAGTGCGCTCGGCTAATCAATTTAATATTGGATCGACTGATACACGGTCCATTTCTAAATTAGGTTATTTTTTAATCACTTGGTAGAACGCAAAAGCAAATAATAATAAAAGAACTTGATAGATACAAACCGTTTGGCGGATAACAAGAAGAATGGCTAGAACAAAAGTGATTTAGGGTAGAAGAGAAAATCCGCGAGCTGAAAAAGTGTTAAATCTGCACGCTAGAGAGAGTTGATTGACCCGGTGCTTATATTTAAGACTTGTTTTTCTGGCGAACAGTAATATAACAGTCTTGAACGATATCGATCTAGTTATCTCCTGATATAAAAAGTGGCAATTCAGTTACCAGGATACATTTTAATTATCGGTCCCTTTTGAAATGACTTACTGACTTGACCATTGGGATACAAACAAGGGACTAATTGGACAGATCAGAAGGTTGCAGAAAGTATACACAGTACAGCACCGTTGAAATATTCTGTGAACTATCAACATCTATTGACATTAGGGAAAACAGAACACGTTCGTTAACATCATGAGTAAATAAGAAAAAAAACAATATGGTTGAGATTTTCGCGGGAGCGAAAAAATTCACATTTATTTTTTTTTGTTTTGAGAAATAATTACCGATGTACAAGGCTCGTGTCGTAGTGCGAAAAACAAATCAAAYTTAATCTATTATTACGAGAAAAACCTGTCCACAAATTTAATTAATGTTTTTGGAAGAGGTATCTGTCAACATAGCGTTGCTCGCGACGATTAAAATTCAATCGGTTGATAAGAAGACAATGAAATGAAATGAATTAAACCAATCCACAACAATCATTCATTTCAGCACGATCAAAGATTCCAAAACCAAAACTCAGCGAAATCTTCAAATCGCCCTTGCTAGCGTAAGTTGTGTTTTCGGAGACCTTTTCCAGTCGGCTTACAAATGATACTTCATAAATGGGCCCATTTCACGGTCATTTTTTAATCATCAGCTATGGCGAATTTTATTTTTTTTCCGCGATCAAAAGCAAAAAAATTACATAAACACGCGCCCAACTGCGCTTATTTTCTATACGAGTATCAAACAAAACAGAAAAGAAATATTGCTTCTCTGCATGTCGACCACCACAATACCTATGTCGTATACGGGTGGTATATTTTTAATTTCTGGTTTCCTATAATAGCTTACAATGTAGTTACACGGGTCCCAAAGTTGTGACCCGACAGCAACCACGTGGAGGACAAAAAACATAAAATTCAGAACTCAGATCGCTYCTCGAAAACTCCGTGAATCTCGAAAACTACTGAAAAAATCATTTAATTAAAGAGCGTAACTTTTTTACGGCAAAAATCCACTTTAAGCAAAACAATTACTTGCTAACCTACAATGGTGTATTTGATATACGTTGACTATTAAAGATTTGACAAAATAGAAACAATGTTATGAAATACGCAAATTAGAAGACTTGATGACCAATTTCTCATTGTCAATAAGCCAATAACTAAGATATTAACTTGATTACGGGGGCATTGCCATACCTTGATTGATCAAATCCTAAGGATGAATTCAGCCTTCCACCTTCTCGATTACAAGTACCTGGGTTAAAWSTAGACGAGTCGAACCGACCATCCATATATTTCGCGATGAGGCACCCACGGGATCATTGACTGCCTAATTTTTCAGATGATACCTTTAAACTTGTCGCCCGGACTAGATTGTTCTATTATAAACGTTCGTCTTCTCGATATGTCATAAACTTGACTGTTATTATTCACCGTGGTTGAATAAGGCCACCGGCCCAGTTGTGTACCTATTAGGGATATCAATAATTCATTGGAAATTGAAACTTAACGGTCGTTTATTATCACGGATCATAGATAGGAAATTTTCTCACCGAAAAACATCTCAACAAGCAATCCTCATTTTTAATTCAATGGCTTAAATTAAAAGCCAACCCTTTTAGTAATTCACTTGAGTTTTGATCTCTAAAAAGGATTTAAAATGTATTGAAAACGTTCTCAGTGTGTCGAAGTGGATAACATGATAGTTCGTATCATATTGTAGTCGAAAATATTTTTTCTCAGATTGTACAAGTTATGTTTACATAACTGGCCGAAATTTCCCTTTGATTAGAGGATTATAATTAAACAGTCGAAATTATACTACGAGTTTCGTATTTGTTCCGTGGAAAACAAGTGGTGCGCTTCGAAATCGCCGGCTATGTTGAGTCAATATTTCTAGTCGATTTTATGAAAACGAAATTGACTTTTGTTGTCGAATTGATTGATACTTTTAATAAGGCCTTTGCGAAATCTGAAACACTGAGATATAACTTTGCGGCTTTGTAATTTTTTTTTCTTTAATTTTCAAAAAGAAAAAAAAGCGACAGACATGTACATGTACCCAATTTAGTACAATCCTTGCGAAATGATCTTTAACAAAAAAATCACTAGCATATAAAATCTACATATGCAATATACGGTAAAAAAACAACATAGCAACTAAAATAATCAACGTTGAGCTGACAGCCTCAAAAAGGTGGAATATCGGTCTAAAAAAAACGGTTATATAATATAATTTCGTGGGATCGCCCTTCTCTAACCAGGTTTGGTTCCCATAGCACTCACATCGTATCAATCAAAACCATCAATGCAAATCTGGATTTGAGTCGAATGGCAAAAACGCAAGTCACTAATGCTTCAAAAGGGCTTAATCGGAGATTAATTCTCGAGGGCGCGCGCTCAATGACAAAAAAATCGAGAATAAAACAAGGCGGCTTTAATATCAGTTCCATTCAAGACATTTGATTGCGATTGTCATGGAAACGTAGCCTTTATACTGAGCTTATCGGATAAGCCGAGCTTGCTCTCATTCCGGGATAATCAAAATGGGGAACTAAGTCGACAATTGGGCCGTAAATCCCCATTGTATCAGGTCGTCTTTTTGACTTGGAGAGCACAGTGGAGTTTAATTAGCTGATAGGGACTATTTGAATTAGACGGTTATATCTATTCCAAGATTGTTTGCACAGTTCCATGCGATAACAATATAGTGTATATAGGGTGGAAAACACGTCGCTAAGCAAATTCTAAAAGCTAATAAAAGAGAATAAGGGAAAGCGATGAATAGAACGAGAAATTTTGTGAGCACAGATTTTAAACTCGTGTATTTGTCTTTGTTCTGTTTTCTTCGTTGAGCTTRTTYGGTTATTAATTTGTTTAGATAATTGTCCATTTTTTCAGGCGTTTCTTTAGCTTTTTTTAGAACTTGTATTACATCATGCCTATGCGTGGATTAATTAAAGGGTCTCTTTAGTTTTTAGTTCATCAGGAATCCAATCTGATTTGATTATTCATTCGATTCGTTAGCGTTTATTTATTGTTGTACTTTTTCATTTTCCCATTATTTCTATTCTGTTATGATCAATCGTCACTATCGTTGATTTTATCTCTCGCTTATTGATCAATTCATTTGTTCATCGATCCTTTTATTCATTCATTGTTCCCATTACTTCCTCTCTGTTTTGATAAATCGTTCGCTCGATCGTTGATTTCCACCACTCTTTTACTGGTCCATTTATCTGTTGATCATTATTTTATTCATTCATTTTTCCCACTACTCCTTCTCTGATTTGATCAATCGTTCGATTGTTGAYCAAYCGTTCGATTGTTGATCAATTCGTACACTCATTCGTTCATCAGTTCATTAATTCAATCGAGCTCTCGCTTATTAATGGATCAATTTACATGCGAACTGGTCCATCGATACATTCAATTACTCTCCGATTGAAAGAAAGCACTCTTTCAATTAAAACACAAACTTCAACCCGCATCTTTTGTGAAATAAAGTGTTATCAATATTAGGAGAGTTTCAGCTGCTGGAGTTACAACAGATTTAAAGCCACACCCAGAATGATACAAACACAATGTACCAAATACGTTCGATTGTTGATCAATTCGTACACTCATTCGTTCATCAGTTCATTAATTCAATCGAGCTCTCGCTTATTAATGGATCAATTTACATGCGAACTGGTCCATCGATACATTCAATTACTCTCCGATTGAAAGAAAGCACTCTTTCAATTAAAACACAAACTTCAACCCGCATCTTTTGTGAAATAAAGTGTTATCAATATTAGGAGAGTTTCAGCTGCTGGAGTTACAACAGATTTAAAGCCACACCCAGAATGATACAAACACAATGTACCAAATATGTACAAAAACGAAAACGATACAAAACTTCGATTTGGCGATTAAGAATTCCTCATTTTTGACAACATATGTTAGATAATGTCGTRAAAATCATTAAATTATGGTAAAAACTTTGTTATGAATGGTGGGCACATTCATTCAAGAACCGGACTGGTCGTCCGGGCAACGCGCTGACACGTGCAAGCTTCTTTTAAATAACGAATTATAAAATACTTTTGTGTCAAAGCTCGTAACCTGGCGATAAATTGGACATTTTTGATGTTTTTAATCATACAAACGAGTCCCAGAACTGTGTAGAGGTGATTTTCAATAGTATTAATTAATATAGAGATCCAATTATAACTGGATGTAATTTTCTCCAATGGTTTGATTAATGGCAGTAAACGTTGACAGCGTCAAAAGACGGCTTACCGATATTGACGGGTTCAAAGAGAAGATACAAATCATATCGTAGTTAATATATATCGAGATGAGAATGGCCTTTTTTAATGAGTAATATAAAATGTAATATCGAATTTACCACAGAGGTGTTTACAAAACAAGAGACAATTTTCAATTATTAAACATTTTCAGAGTAAGATAGAAGCTTTATACGGCTCTGAATAAGGCAATTGAGAAATAGTCATTAAATAACAAAGAAAATTGTGACCGGTAATCCAAACATAGTTTTTACAGTTTTTTTTTTTTTTTTGCTTCCGTATTTCTTTAATTTTGGCTTTTTATGTTCATGACTCGATCAATCCATGCAATACTAAGCGCGCGAGTCAAGCAAAGAAGAAATAAAAAGTTCTATCACAAAGCTAGACAAAAAAAATCCCAAAATCCATCTGTCTASAAGCGAAAAAAAWTCTTGTCTGYCTCAAAGCCATGTCTAGTTAAATTCAAAAGAACAAAATTACATAATAAAACTCTTGAGTCACAGCGTCTCACAAGAACCTGTTTTTCAATAGCCCCAAAGGTTATTTCACAGTTGTCCTTACACAGAGGTTCTGAATTATTGAACTGACGGAGTTGTCACTAGTGGAGGGCGCCGAGCTTCCATTTAGAGCAGGTGGGCCGTGGTCTTCCTTACGGGTTATGATTTGTTCGGTGCCAAAATGAATTGTTTAACAAAACGTCAATTAACTAGTAAACTTAAGTTGTTTGTGTGCGTTAAAAAAGTGGATTAAAGGATTAAAAATAAAATAAATATTCATTCCTTTCAGACAATAAAAGAGAGACCTGTTTAGCTGGAGCGAGCTCATTAAAATATTCTTACGATAATTGATGAAATGAAAATTTACAAAATTATAGTGAAACTGGTGTCAAACAAYTAACTTATAACATAATGCATATGATTTGATCATTACCTATTTGTCTTGATTGCCGCCATATTGAGTTATGGAATGTAAGGGAAAACATGGCATTTTATTATAATAACTCTTTGAAAAAATTAATTTATCTCTCGAGAATTAATAAATTGTATCAAGAAATATTTCAAGCGGTTACCAACAGTCCTTGAAATAATTACTGAACCAATAATGACCAATTCAAATTCAAAATGGCCGCCGGTGGTACAAAGAAATACACTGATCTTTTGGTAGCAAGATCTGAAGCCTTCTTTACACTGTACTAAATAAGTGGCSTTGTTCAGTTTCAAGGGTTTTTAAAACCAAAGGATATTATATATTTTGAGAAACTGCAAACAGAAAATAATAATAATAACAATAATGATGACTCGGTTTCGCAGTACGCACGAAACAAAAGTAGCGCACATTCTTTGCAAGTTTGAACTGCTTACGACTTGTTGAGTCATCAAWGTATTCTCTTACGATGTAATTTCGACTTTTCGTGAACACCTACCGATTTCTCGAACTCGAGCCAAGCCCCATTGAATATTAAGATCCGATTTCCAAGATAAATCATAATAATTTGTTGTTTATGTATTATTCAAAAGACGTGATTTATATCTTAATTTACAACGAAGTTAAGTTTAATGGACAACCTGTTTAGGAATCGACTCGAAAATAAACCACCCGCAGGTACTCTTTAGCAATTAKAATCCTATGTGGGCCGTGTTGCTCGTTTTTAATGTCAGCACACGATAATATTATAGCGAAACTCTTAATGGAATTGAAACATGGAACCGCCGTCAACCGTTGTATATTTCTTGTGTTTCCAGTCGTGCTGCTGAAAATACGAGTGTTCGTTGAAAACCTTTTCTCGATTAAATCTGACATTCAAATTACTATAAACTAAACAAAACCCACATAATGTGCATATAATGAAGAAATATCCTCTAAATACCTGGGAAATTAAAATATTTTTGATTGCAGTTCCAATGGCAATATCTTTTTTGAATCTGAATTTTGGATACCAAATATGGTGTCARACTTAAGCTAATCAATTTGAATCYTCGGAGCATCGAACCGTGTTTCATGTTTCAAACCCCTTAAAAGTGTCTGACTCGTATTTGATTTAGGAAGAACAGTTATTGTGATTGAAGACCATCAAACATGTACGCGCACCGGGGAACTAGGGACGGTTTAGGTCATCGCCGCAATGAAGC